TGCTAAGTAAAGTGTCATTATCTGCTTATAGGAAAACAAGTTTCAAGAGGATGGCTGATCTATTTTATTATTTTGCATATCTTCAGAATCAATGTCAATTAAAAAGATACTAACGTTGATTAATCCAATTATGTGCCAGGAGCTGTCCTTCAAGCTTTCACAAATGTGATCTCATTTAATCCTGAGTAAATTGAGGCGGTGAAAGGTAATCTCCTAACCCAGGATCACACAACTAGTAAATAAAGACCCAGGTGCTGAGAGGCACATGCCTCAAAATCACTCTACTCATTACCAGAAAAGATTTCCTTGCATAGACCTCAGAGACTTTACAAAGGAAATATTGGATTACTGCAATGTGACTCATCAGCCCAATTTAATATTACCTATTCATTATAATGCAATGATGCTTGCATAACAGAGAATGCTGTTGTATTTCTGCCTGTGGCTCTGTAGCAGCCATACGTAGATCACAGGACCCCTGAGCATAGGCTAATTCCATGACCTACAAACGCAATCAATATTAAGAGCAGTTTTAATTGCTCATATTTATGTGTTGAAAATACACGGTCTAATTTTGGTCAGTGGTAGCATCTAGGTAATGCTGACTCAGAAGGGACACATTTGTTGTTGCCATGAGAAGTGGAAAAGCTGAATCACAGTGTACCACAGAAAATGTTACCACTATTAATATAACATGTGCTGAACAGTGAACAAGATGGAATCAGACCATCTCTGACCAAGAGATTCATCCTTCTACCCTGAGACAGATCCAAGAAATATCATGGTCCTATGTCCCTATGTTGTATTATGTTCTCTATCAACTAAGCTAATTATTAGTGTGTGGTTTTCTGGTCAACAGGCTTTACAGGTGGTGCTAGTGGTAAAGAACCTGCCTGCCAATGCAGGAGACATAACATGCTGAGCAACTGAGCATGCGTACACAAAATATGTACTGGCATATATTCCAATTTTAATCCCAGACTGTAATTCAGTCTGGTTTGATCCCTAGGTCGGGAAGATCCCCTAGAGGAGGGCATGGCAACAACCCACTCTAGTATTCTTGCCTGGACAATCCCATGGACAGAGGAGCCTGGTGGGCTACAGTCCATGAGGTCACAAAGGGTCAGACACGACTGAAGCGACTTAGCACACCCAGCATATTGGTCAACATCGCCAGTGTGGTGTATCATCAGAAAAAGGATTGCAAACTCAGGGCCTTCAAGGGCCTACATTGGGCAGGGTTAAGAGAGTAGAGAATGAAGCCTATAGTGAACGATCTAATGGAAGCAGATACTGTAATACAATGCTCAATAGAGGACTATAGCAATCAGAGGAACTCATCTTCCAGGAGATGCCAGAGACCCAGATTTTTAACATGAAAATTCCATGTGTGTGCCATAAAAAGCACTCTTGTGGGCCAGATTTGTCTGTTCTCCGCTGCATGCCTTTGTTAAAAGACTTCTAGTTCACCTCTCATTTCTTCCATCTTGTGGAAGGCTGAACTTGCTTGGTTTCCAGTTTTTATTTATTTACTTATTATTTGTTGCCTACACTGGGTCTTTGTTGCTGCAGATGGGCGTCTCATTGCAGTGGCTTCTCTTGATGTGGATCATGGGCTTCAGTAGTTGTGACTCCTGGGTTTAGTTGCCCTGCAGCACATAGGATCTTCCTGCAGAAGATCAAACCCATGTCCCCTGCGATGGCAGATGGATTCTTAACCACTGGACCACCAGGAAAGTCCCCAGTTTTCTTTTTGAGATAAGAGTATCTAATATATGAATGGGAAAGACTAGAGATCTCTTCAAGAAAATTAGGGATACCAAGGGAATATTTCATACAAAGATGGGCTCAATAAAGGACAGAAATGGTATGGACCTAACAGAAACAAGATACTAAGAAGAGGTGGCAAGAATACACAGAAGAACTGTACAAAAAAGATCTTCATGATCCAGATAATCATGATGGTGTGATCACTCACACTCAGCTAGAGCCAGACATCCTGGAATGTGAAGTCAAGTGGGCCTTAGGAAGCATCACTATGAAGAAAGCTAGTGGAGGTAATGGAATTTCAGTTGTGCTATTTCAAATCCTGAAAGATGATGCTGTGAAAGTGCTGCACTCAATATGTCAGCAAATTTGGTAAACTCAGCAGTGGCCACAGGACTGGAAAAGGTCAGTTTTCCTTCCAATCCCAAAGAAAGGCAATGCCAAAGAATGCTCAAACTACTGCAAAATTGCACTCATCTCACACGCTAGTAAAGAAATGCCCAAAATTCTCCAGGCCAGGCTTCAGCAATATATGAACCATGAACTTCCAGATGTCCAAGCTGGTTTTAGAAAAGGCAGAGGAACCAGAGACCAAATTGCCAACATCCGCTGGATCATAGAAAAAGCAAGAGAGTTCCAGAAAAACATCTATTTCTGCTTTATTGACTATGCCAAAGCCTTTGACTATGTGGATCACAATAAACTGTGGAAAATTCTGAAAGAGATTGGAATACCAGACCACCTGACCTACCTCTTGAGAAACCTATAAGCAGGTCAGGAAGCAACAGTTAGAACTGGACATGGAACAACAGATGGGTTCCAAATAGGAAAAGGAGTACATCAAGGCTGTATATTGTCACCCTGCTTATTTAACTTATATGCAGAGTACATCATGAGAAATGCTGGGCTGGAGGAAGCACAAGCTAGAATCAAGATTGCCGGGAGAAATATCAATATGCAGATGACACCACCCTTATGGCAGAAAGTGAAGAAGAACTAAAGAGCCTCTTGATGAAAGTGAAAGAGGAGAGTGAAAAAGTTGGCTTAAAGCTCAACATTCAAAAAACTAAGATCATGGCATGTGGTCCCATCACTTCATGGAAAATAGATGGGGAAACAGTGGAAACAGTGTCACACTTTATGTTTTGGGGCTCCAAAATCACTGCAGGTGGTGATTGCAGCCATGAAATTAAAAGATGCTTACTCCTTGGAAGGAAAGTTATGATAAACCTAGACAGCATATTAAAAAGCAGAGACATTACTTTGTCAACAAAGGTCCATCTAGTCAAGGCTATGGTTTATCCAGTGGTCATGTATGGATGTGAGAGTTGGACTATAAAGAAAGCTGAGCACTGAAGAATTGATGCTTTTGAACTGTGGTATTGGAGAAGACTCTTAAGGGTCCCTTGGACTGCAAGGAGATCCAACCAGTCCATCCTAAAGGAGATCAGTCCTGGGTGTTCATTGAAAGGACTGATGTTGAAGCTGAAACTCCAATACATTGACCACTTGATGTGAAGAGCTGACTCATTTGAAAACACCCTGATGCTGGGAAAGATTGAGGACAGGAGGAGAAGGGGACGACAGGATGAGATGGTTGGATGGCATCACCGACTCAATGGACATGGGTTTGGGTGAACTCTGGGAGTTGGTGATGGACAGGGAGTCCTGGCATGCTGCAGTTCATGGGGTGGCAAAGAATCAGACACGACTGAGTGACTGAACTGAACTGAACATATGCTGTAGTTGTCTATTTGCCAACATCTGTTGAATCATAGAAAAAACAAGAGAGTTCCAGAAAACATCTACTTCTGCTTTATTGACTGTGCCAAAGCCTTTGGCTTTGTGGATCACAACAAACTGTGGAAAATTCTGAAAGAGAGGGGAATATCAGACCACCTGACTTGCCTCCTGAGAAATCTGTATGCAGGTCAAGAAGCAACAGTTAGAACTGGACATGGAACAACAGACTGGTTCCAAATCGGGAAAGGAGTACATCAAGCCTGTATATTGTCACCCTGCTTATTTAACTTATATGCAGAGTACATCGTGTGAAATGCCAGGCTGGATGAAGCTCAAGCTGGAATCAAGATTGCTGCGAGAAATATCAATAACTTCAGATATGAAGATGATACCACTTTTATGGCAGAAAGCAAAGAACTAAAGAGCCTCTTGATGAAAGTGAAAGAAGAGAGTGAAAAAGTTTGACTTAAAACTCAACATTCAAAAAACTAAGATCATGGCATCTGGTCCCATCACTTCATGGCAAATAGATGGGGAAACAATGGAAACAGTGACAGACTTTATTTTCTTGGGTTCCAAAATCACTGCAGATAGTGAGTGCAGCCATGAAATTAAAAGACTTGGAAGGCTTGCTTCTTGAAAGAAAAGCTATGACCAACCTAGACAGCATATTAAAAAGCAGAGACATTACTTTGCCAACAAAAGTCCATCTAGTCAAAGTTATGGTTTTCCCAGTAGTCACGTATGGATGTGAGAGTTGGACCATAAAGAAAGCTGAGTGCCAAAGAATTGATGCTTTTGAACTGTGGTATTGGAGAAGACTCTTGAGAGTCCCTTGGAATGAAAGGAGATCAAACCAGTCAATCCCAAAGGAAATCAGTCCTGAATATTCATTGGAAGGACGGATACTGAAGCTGAAACTCCAATACTTTGGCCACCTCATGCAAAGAGTTGACTCATTGGAAAAGACCCTGATGCTAGGAGGGATTGGGGGCAGGAGGAGAAGGGGATGACAGAGGATGAGATGGTTGGATGGCATCACCGACTTGATGGACATGAGTTTGAGTAAACTCTGGGAGTTGGTGATGGACAGGGAAGCCTGACATGCTGCAGTCCATGGGGTCACAAAGAGTCGGTTACAACCAAGTGACTGAACTGTCTGAGACATCGAGAAGTTAAATCAATTCATTTTATTATTTTTATACAATGTTAAAGGTTACACTAAATTTACAGTTATTACAAAATATTGACCATATTCCCCACGTTGTACAAGGCATCCTTGTACTCTTCCTTACATCCAATACTTTTTACCTCCCAGTACTCAACCCCTATGTTGCACAACTCACACCCCGGTAACCACTAGTTGGAGTTTGTTCTCTATATCTTTGAGTCTGCTTCTTTTTTGTTATATTCACTCGTTTGTTGTAGTGTTTAGATTCCACATATGAGTGACAGCATACAGTATTTGCTGACTGATTTCACTTAACATAATGCCTTCCAAGGGCTTCCCAGGTGCCACTAGTGGTAAAGAACCCCCACCTGCCAATGCAGGAGACGTAAGAGACATAGGTTTGATCCCTGGGTCAGGAAGATCCCTTGGAGGAGGGCATGGTAACCCATTCCAGTATTCCTGCCTAGAGAATCCCATGGACAGAGGAACCTGGTGGGCTACAGTCCACTGGGTCACAAAGATTTGGAACACGACTGAAGCAACTGTGCAAGCACAACGCCTTCCATCCATGTTGCTGCAAATGTCAAATTTTCATTCTTTTTTCTGGCTGAGTAGTTTTCCATTGCATACCACACCTTCTTCATCCATTGATAGACACTTAGGTTACTTCCATATCTTGGCTATTGTAAATAATGCAATTTTAAAATAAAGTATTTCTGTTTATGGTCTTCATTTATTTACTCAATCACAGTATCTATTTAGTACCCATTATAGTATATTTCTAGGAGCTTAGGATACATCAGTCAGCAAGATAGACAAAGAACCTTGCACTCCTGGAGCTTGGGGGAAGAGAAGGGTAGAAACATTTAATAAGCAACAAACATAATAAATAAGTAAACTATATAGGACAGAAAATATTACATGCTATGGAAAAATGAAGTAGAGCCAAGTCAGCAGGATTGGGTGGGGGGTGGAAATAAAGAGAAAAGGTGGGGAGTGGGGGTTGGTGACAATTTTAACCAGAGTGGTAGGGATAAACCTTATTGAGAAGATGCATTTAAGCAAAGAATTGAAGGAGTTAAGGGGGTTGGCCATGAAATTATCAAAGAGAAGAGTCAGTGCAAGCGTCCTGCAGTCTCCAGCCTCCATGAGGGTGACCCCTGCCTCCTGGGGTTCACACCCTTGAGGGCTGGATTTAGAAGAGAGGAGAAGAAAGTGTGGTGGAAGTGAAAGTGTGTGTCTTGAAAACGAAGTCACAAAAGGCCTGTGTTGGGGTTTTCTCGAGTGTTCTTTCTCTGAGTTGGATCTCACTCTAGGGAAAGCCATGTTGGGAGCTTCCCAATGGAGGGGTTCTTGTGGGGATGAACCGAGGCCTCCAGCCAACTGCCAGCTGAACGAGTTTGGAAGCAGATCCTCCAGCCCATCAAGTCTTCTTCACCGAAGACTGTAATCTCATGAGAGATCTGGAGCCCCCACTACTCAGCTAAGCCACCCCCAGGTTCCTGAGCCACGGAAACTCTGTGAGATAATGTATGGTTTTTGTCTTAATTACACTTTGGGGTAGTATGTTTCACAACAGCAACTGAATAATATAGACCCAAAAGCAAGACTGTGCCTGGAGAATGTGAGGCAGAGAGGGAAGTGGTAGGAACTGAGCACAGAAGGTCAAAGTCAGGGTCAAATTGTGGTAGGCTCTCCAGGCTTCTAGAAGAGTCCCGGCTGTTCCTCAGCGTGGGGTGGAAAGCCACGGACAGGGTCATTCTCAGAGGAGTGACATGAGATGACTAACTGGTTTGACCACTGAAAAAGAAGGTATGATTTTTTTTTAGCACTATATAATAAATTATTTCATATTCATGATAATTCAGAAAAACTCTTCTTTTTTTTTTTCTCCCTTGCCTCCAATTTCTGACCTTGATTATCCTGTCAGCCCTGTGTTTTCACCCAGGGCTTCCTTGGATTTTTCAAGTCGATCTTACATTCTAGCATCCTCTATGTCTGGAAACTGCATCCTTCTCCCTTCAGGCACGCATCCAGAAACAATATTTTGGATCCTGCCTGACATCAGCAGAGCTATTTTTAAACCTTTGTAAAACCCAGACACTCTTTCTTTTAGAGGATTACCCTACAGTGTATCAAACATATTGAAATGCACCCACATCCCACATTTAATATAAATGATACGAGAATTGAATTTTTACATATATATATATATATGCATATATATATACACTGCCTATATTTTTAAGGCATTGCCTATACATTTTAATTATGTATATACTTAAAGACATAATAGACTTATGAGAATTGAGTTGCAAATGACTGACCAACATTATATTCCTTTTTAAAGACATTTAAACTTATTCATTTTGGTTTGCTAAGATTCTTTTTTGTATTTTAAAGTCTTATCTATGTATTTATAGACATATGTATACATACATGCATATGTATGTGTATACACACACACACACACACGTTTCAAAGATCTTTATAGACCCTTAAAGGTCAAAGACCCTAACTGCTGTGCTTGTGTGCGTGTGTGCGTGTGTGCGTGCATGTGTGTGTGCGCATGTGTGCGTGCGTGTGCATGTGCGCACGCGTGTGCGCATGTGTGTGCATGTATGTGCATGTGTGTGTGCGTGCGTCCGTGTGTGTGTGTGTGCGCGTGTGTGCGTGTGTGTATGTGTGCGTGTGTGTGCACGTGTGTGCGCGTGTGTGTGCGTGCATGTGTGCGTGCGTGTGCGTGTGTGCATGTGTGTGCACGTGTGTGTGCATGCATGTGTGCGTGCGTGTGTGCGTGTGTGTGCGTGTGTGCGTGCATGTGTGTGTGCGTGTGTGTGCGTGTGTGTATGTGTGTGTGTCCGTGTGTGCTTGTGTGCGTGTGTGTGCGTGTGCGTGTGTGTGTGCGTGTGCGTGTGTGTGCGTGTGTGCGTGTGTGTGTGTGTGTGCGCGCTAAGTCATACTTCAGTCGTGTCCAACTCTTTGCAACCCTATGGACTACAGCCGGCCAGTCTCCTCTGTTCATGGGATTTTCTCCTCAAGAATATTGGAGTGGGTTGCTATACCCTCCTCCAGGGAATCTTCCCAACCCAGGGATCGAGTCTACATCTCTTGCATTTCCTGTGTTGATAGGTAGATTCTTTACCACTGAGCCGTCTAGGAGGCCCTAAGTTGTGTGATACTGACTACAAATCCTCTGGGGGTCAGGGAGAAAAAAAAGCATAATAAAAGCCAGAACTGGCAGAGATGACTTTATGGCAAGGTGTCTGGGGTGGGGCTTTGATCACCAACTTTAAAATAGAGAAGGTGCTCGGTTCAACATTTGTTAAATAAATGGATAAATGCATGAATGAGCAGTAAGTACTATCGTGAATTTTTAGTCCTCTACCACCATTTATTGTATCCATGGCCCTACCCTGTCCCAGCAGCTCAGAGGAAGTAAAATACAGTTTTTAAAAAATGCTGATAATCCAGAAGTCAGTCAATTATTAGCTTTTGGATTTCGAAACAGTCTTTAAAAGCCAGTCGTAGAAGGATTTTCGAAAGCTCTTACAGTCCCAAAACTAACTTCTATTTTGAGTATTTTTTTAATATATTTGAGTATTTGAGTATTGAAAGTCAAGTCCCTCGGGGCTCACAGCATAAAGTTTCTGCAATGATTGACAGATTTGTGAAGAACAAATGAAGAGTCAGGTGACCTTGCCCTGGGAGATAGATTCCTTCACAGAGGGAAAGCTGCAGGGGGCCTAGGAGAGGAGTCCCTCTGGTTGGAGAGACGGCTTGGAGGGTTGAGTCAGCACAGAAAGGCCTCCAGCCTCTCTGGGGCAAGCACTGGACCTCATCGGCAAAGGGGAACCAGGTGAAGGCTCACAAATCACCCAAGTTACTGCCAAAGCCAGGTCCAGCCTGGGCCCACACCCAGGAGCTCTGTGGTAGCCCTCCCCAATGCCCGCATGTTCATTTTCCAGCCAGCCAGGCTCATCTGTGGCTCAGACAAGATCCAGCCCTCTGAATTATCCTGTGTGTAGGAATTCTTTGGCAGCCCAGTGGTTAGGACTCCACGCTTCACTGCAGAGGTCATGGGTTCGATCCCTGGCTGGGGAACTAGGATCCCACAACATGCCAGCATGGCCAAAATAAGTAAATGAATTGTTCTGTGTACGTAAGCCTATTTTCCTTAATCCTGGGTAGAGAAGGGAAGGGAAGGCCTTGCCATTCTGACTGAAGCCAGGATGGGGATGAATATGAACCTAGGAAATTAAAAAAAAAACACTTTTTTTTTTAACTTGGATTAACAAGTAGAATTTGGATAAAAAGAAGGCAAGGACACAGCATCCTAGGATATGACACGCAAGCAAACGGGACAGCATGGGAACCAGTCTGTAGAGGGGAAAGCACAGTGGGGAGTGACAGAGAAACTGGTTTTCGCTTTTACTTTCTACACATTTGCATTTGGGACTTCTTCGGTAGTTCAGTGGCTAAGACGAAAGGCCTGCAATGCAGGGGGCCCAGGTTCGATCCCTGGTTGGGCAACTAGATCTCACATGCCACAATTAAGAGTTCACATGCCACAACTAAAGATCCTGCATGCTGCAGCTAAGACTCAGCATAGCCAAATAAATAAATATAAATAAAATTTGCCTCCCCTGGCTTTTGCTTTGCAATGGACAATTTTATACACCTTTTTTCTTCTTTTTATTTTTTACAGTGAAATCATTTTCATTTCTTCAGGGCAAAGCATAATTGCTCCAAATTGTTAAGAAATGACTCTAGATGTACATATTGCTCCTTAAAATTTCTTCCAGAGGGTAAAATAAATTACTTTCATTCATTAACTCTTTTCAGAGATTTCACACATCACCTGCAGGAGATTCTCTAATCTTGTTCTCACAGATTCATTATTGGCCAAAATCCTGGAAATCCTGGTTCACTTTAGCAATACTTATCATTATAGAGCAAAAACAGTCTGCAAAAACTTGGCATGTTACAATTTTTGCCTAGTGGGTTTATATCTTACTGTTCAGTATATTAATACTTCTTGTCCCTTTACTAAGTCCTCTAAATATTATAAAGCATTTTTTCTGACATTCAACCTGTGTATAAACTGACTTTTTCCCACTTCCCTTTAGTAGCAAAAAATTAAAGTAAAATTGGCCAAAATGTGCAAGAACCTTTAATGACACACCATTTTCCCCCTTAAAAACATTCTTCTAATCTTCCATTTAGAGACCTGTGATTGAAGAAATGAACAGGGAATATTTTTACTTTGGTTCAGTAGTTTCTGTTTCAACTTTCCAATTAATTAATATAACCCTTATGCAGAAGCCATTCAGAAAGAATGACCCATGAAAATTTAACAAACCTGAACTTTACATGTAACTGGATTTCATCTGTTCTATAGCTATTCAAATTCTAGAACTAAAAGCTAAGTGCTGGGTACAGGAAGGGAATTCCATCTCCCACCCTCCAAGTTACCTTCCTATATATTAGGAATCTAAAATATATAATATAATCTGTTTATATTATTATATAAAATTAATTTATAGTATTATATATAATATAATTCCCACTATATTCACAACAGCTTGATTATAATATTGAAAAACCTAAAGGGATTTGATGGGAATGTAAATCAGTACAGTCACTGTGGAAAACAGTATGAAGTTCCTTAAAAAAAAACTAAAAAATAGAGTTACTGTATGATCCAGC